ACATGTAAAAATTTCACTCACTTTCTGGTAAAGATAAGTTAAATTTTTTAATTTGAGTAAACAAAATAGGTTAAATGTAAAATACCTAAAATGCCAGTTGTTTGGTAAACGTTGCCGTGTTTTCTTTAAGTTCGATCTAACCCAGGGGTGTCAAACTCAATTTCACCGAGGGCCACTTCAGCATATTGGCCCCCCTCAACGGGCCACATTGACGGTACAGATCAGGAGTGCATCCCTGCTAAAACACCCCAGACAAAAGGTTGACTTACAACATTCAGGTCTGTAGAGGCTTATAATGAGTCAATGGTCCAGGTGTGTTAGAGAAGGAATACATCTAAAGTTGCAGATGGTAGCTCTGGAAAACTAGACTTGGGCACCTCTAGCATAAATGTATAAAAATACAATGTTAAAAATAAATTAAACACCACCTCATATTGTTAAATAACTGATTTTATGATTTGAAGTTTTAAATATTGCATTTGAGTTTCCATGGAAACTCAAGTGTAGCTGTACTGCTCAGTTTAAAAATTACAATATTTAAATCAGTGTTTAAAGGTGAGCAAACAAATAATAAAAACAAGTCAAAGGGCAGACATTATAGACTTTACGCAGAGATTTAGTCTCAGAGGCAACTGAAATCACTTAATTTAAAAAATCCTTTCTGAATATCATCTCATGGTCTCTGAACTAAATGCCTCTTTCTGACCGGGAGCTGACAGCGTGTTGAAGAGTTATGGACCGGACGCTTTGGAGCGACAGGTTAGGAAGCGCATTACAAACCTTTGGTTGAAATGTAGTTTGTAGTCAATTCGTGTTCAAAACCTATTTTAAGTCAATCATCGGCCTATAAAATGCTGGGGGGCCACATGTGGCACTCAGGCCTTTAGTTTGACACATGTGCATTACGCCATAGAACTGCCAATTGGTAATTGAAGTAAAGTAGCTTCGATTTCAAAGAAGCCTACATTGAAGTCGATTGGCAAATGAACCATCACAAAAGAGGAAGGCTCTTGTTGTCTCACTGCACCCCAAGAGATGCATAACCTACAAAAACCATTTCTGTCTGGTTTTGAACCAGAGACCTTTTGTGTGTAAAGCAAACGTGATAACCACTACACTACAGGAACTGAACTTCTCTGCTTTGTTTCAGTTTGAGGTTCCAAAGTTGATGATGTGAGATGCAACGCATGAAAATGTCAACCGAGGCTTGCACTCAGATGCCTGGATTCAGAGTACAGACCATCACACCACAGAACCCTTGTAGACCTTTAGTAAACACCTGTGATGAATAGAACATGCTACTACACTACAGAAACTCAGGCTCTTTGCAGTGTTCCTGGTAGATGATCCACATTTTGTTAGAGACTGATGTCAATGATGGGCATGGAACAATGTCAAATACTTCTACCACAGATCCTCTCAGAGAGCACAGTAACTTGGTGAACAAACTGTCAGACTTATTATACTTGTGCCTAATTTCACATTACAGTCAATAAACTAAGCCTGGGATCAAAAAATTGTATTAAAGATGTCATTAGCAGAGACAAATGGTTCTACAGAGAATTGGTTAAAAGGCTAAAAAATAAAATCAATACTTACAAATAAAAATGGTTAGGAAGCGCATTACAAACCTTTGGTTGAAATGACACGTTAAATTCAAGTCTCCATTACAGACCAGAGAAAACTAAAGAGAATGCAATGTTGTGTTAATCCATTTGAGGAGCCGGCAGTTTATCTGGAGGAAATAAATGACTATGCAAAAGTTAATTAGACTGTAACATGCGCAGTCCGCTGCTCAACCACTGCGGACGCGGCTCTGCAGTGGCGAGAAGCCGTAATGTTGGCTGGTAACAATTGGAATGCATTATGGGAGATGTAGTTTGTCGTCAATTCGTGCTCAAAACCTATTTTAAGTCAATCTTGGGCCTATAAAATGCTGGGGGGCCCGCGGGCCTTGACTTTGACACGTGACCTAAGTGATAGTTTTTACAGTGTAGATTAACCATTTCTTGGGCTCAAGCTCCTCGCCTTTTTTAGCTGCTTTTATTTATAAATATTTTTGTGATTGGGACACAGGAAAGCAGCCATCTTTGTTTTGAAATGGTGAAAACAGGGCAATATTTGTTCTGTGGTTTGGCTTCTGTTTTAGTCCATTTGAAGAATTTTGTTTTCAAGTGAATCTTTCCCCTCTTTTGTGTTTCTTTCCCAACATTTTTCAAGTTTTTTTCAGCCCTAAACATCAAAACACAGCCAGATTGTTGAGCTCATGTTGATCATTTTTAATTTGGATGAAATAATTAACAGAAAACATGACAAGTTCTCAAACAATTGGTTGTTTGGTTAGTTTTGTTTAGTTTTTTACCTGAAATGATTGGCCTGCGCATTAAGGCGGACAATAAATTGCTCCTGTAATTATTACAATAAACAATATTTATCATCGTTTATCACTCTCTCAAAGAACGATAAAGTTTATCATTGCAGAAGAACAGATGTGCAATAACAAAAATGAGTGAAAACAGAATACAAATACAGATAACTATAATATCCATCCATTATCCAACACATTTATCCTTGATTACTGTTATAATTTAAGAAAACATTTTGCTGGATGATAAATTGTCCCAATAATTATTGCGATAAAAGATAATGTTTTGAGTTTTCAAGTAATCTAATGAAAGTGACATAGTAATGCAAGTTTGCTCTCTCAAAAAATTATAAACTGTAGTTTTGTAAAGAACTACCAAAATAAAACAATAAACAAAACTGAAACCATAAGTACTGTGGATTATCAAAAAATATTAATCATCAGAATGGAAATTATTGAGATCATTTAAATTTATCTTGCAGTTAATTTCTTATTGCCACAGGCTTAGAAAGGGAGAAACAGTAAAACTGTCTGTTCAGGCTCCTGAAAAGTTGATTAATAAGACTAATTCCCAGAATTAGGTCATGAATATTATTAGAGATTACATGCAGAATTTAACTTGAGTCCATTCTCATGAAGGATAACAAAGCAGTTAGTGACTAATGCTTCGTTTTCTGTTACGTCTGTGGGAGATTTAGTGAAATCTGTGAAAGTCCTCTCGTTAGTCAAACGGCTGCGGCGAGGATTCGTGTTTCCTCTGATGAAGCCTGACGGACTGAGCGACGTCACAGGAGCGCCGCCGTGAGCTCAGCGCTGTTTGTTCTGCTCCGAGTTTATGAGGGGAATTCACGGTCAGCCGCCGCTCTGCTGCACCTGGACACACCTGGAGGCGTGGCCAGGTGTGTTTGTTCAGCGCTGTTTGCTCTGCCGCAGCGTCACAGCGGAGCGTGGAAAACGTTCCCAGTGATTCTGCTGGAAACTCCTGCTTTAATTAAGATCTCTGAACACACTCTGGATTTTACTGCATTCATTTGTCTCCAGTTCCAGTGAAAACATAAATAAAAACTGAATACAGACGAGATGTTTAATGTTCAAATGTCTTTTTCAAATATTTGGTTTTGCTCATCATCATTTCAGTTTGTATGTTTTACACATTGTCCCAGCTAAGCCTGTCGCAATAATCAACCAATTAATCACAAAGTAAATTTAAATCAGCTCAATAATTTCAATTCTGATTATTTTGTGAAGGACAATTTTGTTATAATCCATTTTATTTATTGTTTTGGTTTTGTGTTTTATTTTGGATGTTTAAAATGCCTTTCTGCTTACAAAATATAAATTGATTTTTGAGAGAGCAAATTTGCACCATCATTATTTGAAAATAGTCTCAGAACAATATTATTGTTTATTGCAATAATGTGAGGCAGTTTATCGTCCCGTAAAATGTTCTTCATCGGAGTAATTTTTAAAAGTTTATCCGCTTCACTGTCAGGTTTTGATGCTTACTGCCCTCTTGTGGCAGCATTTGAAACAACAACAAAAAACGCTTGACGTTTTTGGATAGATTGATGTTAAACTTAAAGAGTTTAAAGTTTACAGTTCTGCCCAGCAGGTGGCGCTAATCTAAATATCAAACCAATACATTTTATTTCCTTCAGCACAGGCAGGCCAATAGTATTCATACAGCAGGCTTGGTTTGTTTTTGAATTTCTTTATATCGGAACACGATGGATTTATTCGTAATGTGCTGCTGAAATTAAACCCAACTTTCCAAAAACATGACAGTTCATGACTTTGAAAGGTGAATTACGTTTCCACAAAGTGCCAGGTTGGTTCAGAAAGAAAGTAAAATCATGTTTACTCAGGTTGTCTACGTGACCAAAGAAATCACAAAACCAGAAAAAATTCAACAAATGTATTAGTTTAAAAAAATCATTTAATTGAATAATTTTCCTTCAATTTTACAATTTTGCACTACATTTTTCCTGGTATATTACAATAAATTAAAACTGAACAGAAAAGAAAATTGTTGCCAAGAATTATCAGAAAACGAGAAACAAATCTGGAAAATAGAAGAAATGTAATAATTTAAATCCTTAAACATGAACAGATCAGGCTTGTTGGCATGTAGGAGGGACAACACAAACAAATTTATCACATTCATAAGAGCTTTATGACGTTTTCACACCTGTTGGCTCAAATCAGCTGAGTTTATCAGTTGTTCATTACTGCAGCATGATTTTACTCAAGTAAAAGTAAAAAGTAGCCATCCATGAAATTACTCAAACGAGTAAAAAAGTACCTGGTAAAAAGGCGACTGAAGTTCTGACTGATTAAAACATTAATCATATTGATAACATATAATCATTATTCATATAAATAGCACAGCAAAATCAGACAAATGATTTTCTTTCCAAATCAAATTCTTTTGATTTAAAACTCATTAAACATTAAGAAAAGCTGCATGTTTGTCTCTTTCTGAATTTTTGATTAAAATAAGTTTGTTTTTCATTCAGTGAAGTTACTCAGATACTTTTACTCCAAGTTTCGATACTTCATGATAAAATACAAAAACACTCCAAAAAGTTATGTTGCAAAAATCTTACCAAGTAATTTAGGTCAAGTTCCTAAATATTTCTAAACAGAGTGTGCTCAGATATTTGCAGTAGAAACTAGACTGAAACTACTCGGTAATGTTTTGTGCTTTTGCAGCGTAGTTCCTACCAAACTCTGGATCACATTCTCACTACAAACCGCCCCAGTTTGCTTTGGTCCGGTTCCTGCAACCGAGTCGCACCAAGACGGGAAGCAGCTTCACACAAACTCAACACCTGGGTGTAAAAACAGCCACAAGCAAGAGAAGTCCTGCTGTCTTCTGCTTAGAAACTTGTAAGATAAAAACTATTCTGTTAAAAATAATTTACATTTGCTACAAAAATAAAGATCTCTAATGTCTACAGCGTTTGAGTTTTCGACGTCATCTCTTTCCCCAGAAGTCTTCCCGTCTCTTCTGAGCGCGCTCCAGGACGGCGGACGCCGCCGAGCACGAAGCCGCCGAGCGCCATGACATCACTGACAGCCGGTCGTCTAGGTAACAAAACGTAAAAAGATTTACTGCAGAGTTTTAAATTTTAAATGTTTTTATCTTTACTTTTTATTTTAATTATGTAAAGCACTTTGAAATGCCTTGCTGCTGAAATGTGCTATACAAATAAAATTTGATCTGATTAATTTTAAATGTTTTCTATCAATCAGGTTTATTTGTAAGGCACATTTCAGCAATAAGGCGAAGTGCTTTGCATCATAAAAACACAAAAAGCAATAATTGAAACATTTTGCCGTCGTTACACTTCAAAGATGTCGGTTAATGTTTCATTTATTATGTTCAAAAGCAACATTTGGGTTTTTAGTCTAGATTTAAGAGAACTCTGTGTTTCAGCTAAGGATGCACGATATATCGGCACCAACATCGGTATCGACCGATATTAGTCGTTATTTAACATATCGGTATTGGGGCTGATATTAGCAACCAATATTTATTTTCATCCTGTTGCTTCTGTTTCTGGTCATTTTTTTAGAAATATAATAATATTTAACTTCAGTAAGTTTTGGTTATTGGCCAAAACAGCAATATTAACATTGGATATCGATATTGGTCTAAATGTTCATATCAGTGCCTCCCTGGTTTCAGCTGTTTTGCAGTTTTCTGGAAATTTGTTCCAGATTTGTGGTGCATAGAAGCTGAATACTGCTGGTTCTGATTCTGTAGATCAGAACCAGAACAGCAGACTTTTAATGTGATAGAAGACCGACTTTGTAATTGTCTTTATGTGTCTCTGAAGGTCCAAATATGTCAGTATTTTAATGGTAAGCTGTCCAGTAACAGAAGTGTTTTAAAGTCTGTTCTCTCGGTGGAAGGCCTTCAGAACTGGGAGATGTTCTCCATCTTCCTGGTTTTAGTCAGAACTCCAGCAGCAGCGATCTGGATCTGATTGATTCTTTTAGGCAGACCTGTTGCATTAATCAATGTGGCTAAAGATAAACGAGTAAAGACCTTTCTATGACATTGGTCCTTTAATCCTGGGAATGTTTTTCAAGTGATAAAAGGCCGACTTTGTAACCGTCTTTATGCATCTCTGAATGTTCAGATCAGAGTCCGTTAAGTGGTTTTCTCACCTTCATCAGAACCGCAGCCTCCTCTGGAACATGGCAGCTCCCTGAACCTCAAGCCCAAATCACCTGGAGAGGAAAAAACCTGATTAGTCTCAGAACCACAACAATCACCGCCTGCCTCTTTTCTCCTGTTTGTCAAATCTTCCATCTTTTATATGAAAACTGATCAGTTGAGAAAAAAGATGAGGAGGAAGTAAAGAGGGACAAACCCGCGTTGTTATCTGACACTCTCTCTTCTGTCCGTCTGGGTTTAGTTTCCCTCTAATGCCTCGGCTGTTGGGCTGCACGGCACAGCATGACAATAAAAAGGGTTTTTCTTGCTGATTCAGCTGCAGAGCATCGACTTTCTTTAATTCTCTGTAACAGGAAGGAGGAACTTTTTATCCCCTCTCTTCTAATTTCCTGAATTTAAGCAGAAACCAGTGGGTTTACTCCTGGAGGTATGTTGTTTAAATCCTTTTAGCTCTACATCTTTAAAGTTTAAATCTTAAGATGCGTTTCTAATGCTGGTAAACTAGACAAAAATTAAATCAATGCAACCCAAACAACTGGAGCTTTGTAGTGAACATGATCTACATTAGTCCCTTCCTCAATTCTTTGCTTTTGTACAGCCGGAGGTTAATCCCATGTTGGTCTGATTTCACTGTTTTTGTTTGGACTCTGCTGTTGCATCATCAGGAAACCTGATGCACAAAAATGCCCCAAATTAAAACCTCCAAGTTGAAACTCATCTCTAAATACTTTCCAGAACCGTGTATGAACCCGTAGAGGAAGCGGGTCTCAGGAGGAAGACTTCTGATTTGTTAGTAAATAAATCAGAAACTATTTGTCCACACATTGAACGAAAACATTTCAGTAGAAAGTTTAGTGGAAGGAAAGATGCAGACACAGCACAGGAGTCTGAAGCTCACCGTTGTGCTGGAAGTCCGGATGTCTCAGCGTTCCCTGGATCCCATGCTGCGGCGGCGAGCCCAGAGGGGGCGGGGCTGCTGGGGAAGGAGGCGCCTGCTTCGTCCTGATTGGTTGAGGCTGAGGGCTGGGCGTCTGCTGGTTGGTAGGAGGGGGGCTTAAAGACACGGGGCTGTTCTCTGGCCACGCCTCCTTCAGTTTGACCGGCTTGTTGACGCCGACCTCTGACCCAAACTCTGTTGAAGCGAATTTCTGGCCAGATAAAACGTCACATGACCCTTTATTGTGTGACATCATACATAAAAAATGTTTTATTAGAACCAAGTTACCTGTTTTTGTTTGATAGGAGAAGAATCATCCCTGTTGGTCGATTTTCCAACAAGTATAGCTCCCCCTGGAGGGCAAACAGGGCATATGTTTGGTGGTAGAATACGACTGAAAAACTAAAATGAAATGGATACAAAGGAAGTAATTATTAAAATACCAACAGGACGTCTGCAGAAGTTTGACTTGGATGAATTTTAATGCTGATACACATGAGGGAGAGCGGCGCTGCATGTACGAGCCTCAACAACGGAAAGATGTCAGATCTGAGTTCATGCTGCGATTTTAACTCATCGTGGATATTTAATTATGGGTTGGAATACATATGTGCTGACCAGATTGCTCCAAAAGAGCAGGGCATTCTGGGTAACGTTGAAAAAATAACATTTTGCAGTTGCGATCTTTCCATCAAATAAGAAATGTGATTAAAATCACATGTGAACTAGTTAGTTCATGTGATAAGTGAACTAACCTCTTCTTTGTCGTCTCCAGCAGTAGTAACATCTGGCTGTTGATCATGTGACCCGTACGATTAAAAAATAGTTTCCATTGCAGTTTTGCAAAATAAATCAACTTCTCATTCCAGCGCAAAAACTTTTCATCTAAAATTGAGAGTTTAAAAAAAAATGAAGCGTTTCCATAAGATACATTTATTTTCAAAATGTCAAATTGTGCAATGATATTGTTAATGGAAACCCATCTGCTGCCATGCCCTCTGCATGTATGAAACCTTCTGTTATGCAGTGTGACTGCTTATTGCATTGCGATGTTTTATCACTACTGAAGGCCGTATGAGGAAAAACGTCCAATATTAGCTCAACAGTTTCTGCAGAAGTCAGTTCAGCGTTTGCTGCATCTGAGCGCGCTGCGAGGAAGTGGTTTATTAATTGCAGTGAGCACAATAAAGGGAGGAAATGTTGCACGTTTCTGCAGGAAAAGAGCATCCTTCAGAGAACAAACAGCAGAAGCTGCAGTCGATCTGCTCTACCAGCTAGCAGAAGTGTCATTTCTTTTCTGAGCCGTTTTCTCGGAAAGTTTTCTAGGTCTTCTGAGGTCTTTGAGACCTCAGCTTGACCTCTGATCTTCCTGGAAACACTCGACTCTGTCAGCTGCAGATGCAGCTTCTTAAAATGGCCAAAGCTGTAAGAACTTTGTCTTTAACTCTACACCAGGATTGCATGTAATTTTTCCCTTGTTGGAAATGAGAAACGTTGAGGTGGATTAAAGATTAGCATCGGGTTTTACAGCGCTGGGTGGTTTCCGTGTCCTGCAGGTACGTTTACCTGTGGCAGGTGTGGTCAGGTCGTGGTGGGTCCTCTGCACCGGCCTCGTTCTCAGTCTGGGAGTCGGTAACCTTCCCTCCTCTCTGAAAACACACAGTTGGTTCCTGAAACCAGAGGTGGCTTTGATCTGACTTTCACACTTCTGACACACTTTCTGTCAGTGCTGGAGATTATCTTCAGGCAAAATAGACTCAAGTTACAACTGCTTAATTAAAACACTTCAAAACAAAGTCAAGAATATAAAACTGCTATCAGAGAAAGAAAAAACCGACTCCTCCGTCTCTTCTTCTTCTTCTGCCCAGGCTGTGTGGCACTCAGCTCCGGGTCCTGGAGGCGTTTCCCTCCCAGCGCTCCTCTGAGTTTTTCCTCCGCTGACTGACGACCTCCTGCTGGACATACTGGAGAACCAGGCAGAAACCAGTTCAGGTCAGAGGTCAGATCAGGTTGCAGCCTCCTGCCTACAGCTGGGCAATATGGCTAAAGAATAAAAGCTCACATTTCTTTTATTTACACTGAATCCAATTTTAATCCGTTTTTTTGTTCTCTACAAATGAAATTATTTTCAAGAAGTGGTTTTATTTCAATCATCTCTTTTGTGAGTCGGACAACTGAGCATCGGGATTAATTATGAGAATATATTCAGAATATAAGCAGAAAAAAGGCACAATTTTACCAGAAAAACTTTACAATACAAAGTGTTTTTATTGAACAAAAAACCCTTTTTTAATCAGGATGGGATGCGAACAGCTCAGTTCATACAGATCTTTGTTCAAAATAAACTCTTTGTTTGCAGGATTGAGTCAAAGTCCTGCTGCTGATACATTGATGCTGGTGTGTTAAAAGAATAAGCATTTCTTATGTGTAAAACTTATGGAGCCTGTTGCATGTCATTGTTTACCTTTGGAGATTCTGCGCATGCGAACGACGCTGGATGGCAAAAAGACGATTAACAAAATGAAACCTGGAGATGAAGGCATTAATTTACTGCAGTGTGTCACTGCAAAGGGAGAAATAACAACTCAAAGCCACTTTTTTCTCCCTCTCTGTCAGCTACACCACACCTGTTGGTCCAGCTGTCCTATTGTTGACAATCAGTAGCAAAGCACTGCGTCCCTTTTTATTTTATATATCAGCGCATTTAAGATTTAGCAGAGAAAGTTAGCTGTTCTGCTAGCTAAAACCAAAGCTAACATCATCTGCTAGCAGTTTTTTGCCCTCTTGCAGAGAGATGGGGCAGGATTTTGTGCAGTTTTGTTGCGACGGCTCCATACCAAAATATAACTTCACAAGATGCTCCACATGCCTCATTTTTGTGATTCTGTATGTTGGCGTTTCCATAAGATTCTCATTTCATTCTCATAATTAGAAGAAAATCAAAGTACTCTAGTCCTAATATTCTGTCATAGAGTTGACTTGAATTCAAAGTCCAAATAAATAGCAGCTGTAAAACAAGATGGCCGCCCTGGGTGTGATGACATCACTTTGAGGACTGCATTGGTGGGGAAAAAAGTCCAGATTTTCTCTAAATTAATCGCTAAAATCGATTTATCGCCCGGCTCCACTCCCGCCTGCATCGCTCCTCACCTGGCCAGGTCCAGGGCTTCTACACAGGAAGCTCTGCGGCTGTCCGGCTCAGGTGAAAGGTCACGGTTGGGCAGCGGGGTGGAGGGGTCGGAGTGGGAGTCGGCGGGCTCCCACAGCGCGTTGTGTTCGGACAGCAGCTGGCTCAGATGGTCCCTGGAGAAGTTGGTTCCCCAGGCTCTGCGTCGGTACGCCTGGGCCTGCTGCCTGCGCTCCTTCACCTGGACAAACAGGTGAAACTCCTGAAAACCCAATAATCACTGACCAACATATTGATGAGTTCAACACAGACAAAATATTAGTTACTAGTTTGATGCTTTTATGACTTTTTTTCTGTGTTTTTATGATGCAAAGCACTTTGAACTGCTTTTGAAACTTGATTTTATTAATAAATAATTTGGGTTTTTAAAAATCTCAGTCAGAAAACAGGCGATGCAATAACGTTTTTCCACTGGTGAATTTTAAATAAGATCAGAAACACTGAGGCAATTTTGAGCCATAAAATATGTCTTCAAAACAGACATTTTTCCATTTATATTGGTCAAAATCTATTTATTATCTTAAAAATATTGACTTCAAAAGAGAAATAAAGAGTGGATATTCAGTTCTCTGAGAGGAATCTGGTAGTTTGAGGCGTTAATTATTCCGTCTCTGCCGTCAAACCTCAGCTGCTTCGCTCCAGTCGTGTCACTGCAGCTGAAGTCGTAGATTCTGGTAAACCCGACGCGCTGGACCCTGGATAACCTCTGACCCCGTTTGTGAAGCTAACCTCAGTCTGTCCACGGCGCAACCTCGACAGGAATCACCTGTCAGCGTTTCATCACTTCCACCCACCGGTTTGTTCGTGACGTCGGCTCAGAAAAAAAAGACTGGGTCAAAAAGACGGAGAGAAAATTGATGTGATTCATTTAGAGGATTAAAACTTTTGATGACTATATTTAAAAACACATAAAAGAGGTTACTTTACAAAAGTTTGGACTCGGTAGTTTTTATTTGAGTCTCAGCAGGTGACTCACTGCATCTGCATCGTTTCCATTTGAAAGGTAGAACTGAATAACCGGCTGACGGGTTCGGGCCGCACCCAACAAGATGGCCGCCGAAAATGTAAAAACCCCAGCGGACAGAAAAATGCCCCCTCTGCTTTCCCACCAGATCGACTCAATTAGCTCCACTTCTAAGCAAGAATATTTCATAATATTTTCCACTTTACAGTGATTTTCCTCGAGTTTTAGCTTCTTTACAAGCAGCTTCACATTTTCTCTCAGGGTTTCCTGATTCTCATAATAAGACTTTGAAATGATTGGACAACTTCACATCAGATTTTTAGAACTTTCTGAAAATTTTAAGACTTTTTTTTGGTA